AATTCCAAGCTGCATAGATAATTCATCAGCAGGCTATGAGAAAGAATTTACTTGAATATTTGCAAAATTAGTTTCTTGACATTGAATATATTTAAGTAAATATCAGTAACAAAAAAGAGATAAGCTGTGTGTTTGTAATTTCCAATCTGCAAACAATGTAGCATAAAAAAAAACTCAAAATCCTTGTATTATGCTTTTGTATTTTAAAATGAGTATACTTAAGTCCTTTACATTCAAATTTACTTAATTTGATTAATCTTTCCATCCTTATGCTGACTCATCCAGTTATTATTTTTCTTGCTGCCTTTTTGATTTTATAAATCCATCTTTCTCTTCTTCCCCTATGTCACGCTTTCTGCAGGGCAGTCAGAGTTCAGAGTCCAGTTCCCCCTGCCCCTTCCTCTAGCTCAGTGATTTTCAACCACTGTGCTGCGGTACACTAGTGTGCCATGAGAGATTGTCAGGTTTGACATGTGAAATTATCTAATTCACCAATCACCTAATTCACCATTGTCGGGTATCTGTGCTGTCATTAAGTGTAGCAGATGATGTAATACTCTTCTATTTTAATGGGTGGCAGCAGAGGCGGATAAAAACCTGTGAAGACAACAAAGTGACAGTGACAATTTGGGATCTCAGCAAGACGAGCTAGTGACAGTAATGAAGAAGTTTTTGAGAAGGAAAAATGCAAATGCCGAACATGGCCCTGGAGAAAATTCTGACCCAGACGGTGGGCGCAAGTCAATACAGAGACTATCTTTCCTTTGGATTTACTTTCACCGTGGATGAGAAAGCACCGATTCCGCTGTGCTTTGTGAGAAGCTGTCCAATAGCGTCATGGTGCCAAGCAAGCTTAAACATCATCCCCAAACGAAACACCCATCCGTTCAAAACAAGCCTATGGACTATATAGTACAGTAGCAGCCATTCAAAAGGACCCTTCTCGGTCAAATGCCAGACAAATGGCAGCCAACTTCCAGCCACTGAAGTAACCCCTCCTTCCAATGGGCGTGCATACGTTTTTACTCTGACTCCACCCTTTCACTGAATTACAGGGATTGACCAGGAAAAAGCGGCTTCTCTTTAGATGTCAATGTGCACAAATCATGACAGAAAGAATATGTTAGTGCAAAGTCTGATGTTTAAAAAGGAATTGCAGGGGATCAGCCAAGGAAAAGCCAAGGGCCCATCAAGGAAATTGAGGAAATTTTAAATGGCTACTACTGTATGCTTTCTTAAAAACAATGACAAACATGCAACTTTTTTAAGAAAAACCACAAAGGTAAATGAGAGATCCCTCATAGTTAGCTACCTTCTTGCTGAACTCGTAGTAAAATAAAAGAAACATTAATACTGCCAGCTTGTAAATCCATATGGAGGTCCGGTGGCTGTTGCATGGCAAAGTGCTGCCCCGGGTGTATGAGTTGCAAAGGAACTTCTGCCTAACAAGAGTTCAGATTACTCAAAGTTGCTTGCAAGCGATGAGTGGTGTGCAACCTGGCTGATATATTTCATTATCTGAATGATCTGAACACACGGATGCAAGTCCAAAATGAAAAACCTGCCTACAAGCGCTCTGGCAACAACATGTGCAGCATGGCAACTAGGGGTGTGCAAAATAATCGTCATGACGATGCATCGCGATTAAAATTTTTGTGATCTACTGCATCGATTCTTGACGCCAAGTATCGATTCTTAATTTTAAAAAATGAACTAATTAAATACATGAATGGTTGGCGCACATCAGCCAAACCAAGTGTAATACAACTTCCAGTCCAGCAGATGTCGCTGCGGATGTGTTGACGCCTGCTGCTTTGTGTCACAAGCATTTCTGGCCGCGGGATACTGTGACGAGTCATTTGTAAACAAAACATGGAGGACACTGAGAAAATTCGCTTTAAAAACAAAGAAGGTAAAAATGAAATTGATATGATGCACGTAATTTGCAAAAGGGGAAATGTCATACATTTGAATGTTTTCATTTCATTGGTTTAAAGGACCACTGAGCCCATGTAAACGGCACTGATTATCATTATTTTGTTATTTTAAGTTTTTTGAATCCTAAGATCTTTTTGTCAGTGTGTCCACACCAGTAATAGTAATATTTGTGTCCAGTATTTGTTTTCATTTCAATAAATACAGCTATGTACGAATGCAGTTGCTTTCAGTTATGTATCAATTGAAGACACTATCCAGATCATACCCAGCAAGTCAGCCATTGGTAATGGCTGTATCTTTTTCTTACAGTGTTCAGTGAAAATATCGCAACGCATCGCGATGCATCGCAATATTTCAAGTATCGTGGTGCATCGTGATAGAATCGCATCGTGGCATGTGAATCGTGATTTGAATCGAATCATGACTTCTTTGCCAATACCCACCCCTAATGGCAACCTTGAGATGTTCCCACTCACAGAGAAGTGGAGATTGGCACACATTTAATAACTCTTGAGGAGAAGTTGTCATTTTTATTTCTATTCAGCTTTCACAGAATGCCTTGACTGAGTTAGGGACCCATATAGCTAAGTATCCGTGGCTTGAAAGGACATGACTTTAAAGGAGCAAAAGGAACTCACTGAATTGAAACAGGATCATGGTTTAAAGCTAAACTTTGTTGATCTTCCTTTAGACAGTTTTTGGTTATCTTTTGAAGGGATTTTGACATTGCTCCCGTTTTCAACCACATATCTATGTGAGCTGACATAAAAACTAAAAACAGAGACTGAGAACTGTTGAGGCAGACAGTTGTGTTGTGTGTGTCTTTCTGCCATTCCTGCGAGGATATCTGTTTTGTGTTCATCGAAACAGACCCAGGATTCACACTAAGTGAGTACAGTATAAATACATTTAGAAACTATATTATTTACTACATAATATTTAATTTTGTGTCATTTTGGTTGCCCGAGGATTTTGTTAATACAAAAAAGTATGCCATTACTCAAAAAAGGTTGATAATCACTGCTCTAGCTCCACTCCTGACTAGTTTTTTTTATATCATGACATTTAACAAGAATGATATAGTAATTGTCTCACTTCAGCCCTTTAGGTACTGGTAATAATGTGCTAAAAATAGATATGCCGCCAGATAGAAGGGAAGAGGAAGTTGCAACTAATGCACTGATCCATACATACAAGCAAGATATACAAACTTTTCACACACAGATAAGTCCTATAGCGATAGACACAGAAAAGAGAGGAATAAAGCCCTAAAGCGAAGGTCTTCAACAGGGGGTCGCGACCCCTTGGGGGTCCATGGAGGTACTGCATGGCGGTAGCGAAAGTTTTGGTTGATTAGACTTTTTGTCTTATATTCCCCCCCTGCAATTTTTTTCACTAATTGAAATGTCTATAAATATACCGTAAATTCTCTAATATTGGCCTGTATTCCAATAGCGGCCGGGTCTCTAATAATGGCCGGTCTCGCTGTCAGAGGAGGTAAATAATGGCCGGTCTCTAATACAGGCCGGGGCTATAAACGTTTTTTTCTGGGCATACCTCAACATTATACTTGTGGTAGTAAGTAACATACAAGTACCACAGCCCTGCGCAGCTGAACGACAAGCCCTGCTGCTGCCCGTCTGCGCGAGGAAGAGAACAGACACGCAGCAGAACAGGAGGAGCGCGAGTGATGAGGAGATTAAAGGGAGAGATGAAGAGGAGGAGGAAACTGAGGAGGAGAATTAAACAGAATTGGAGGATTTTTATATTTTTTTTTTACTTCAAACCAAGCGAGACATGGTAACTGTACTTTTTCAATAAATGAACCTAGTGTTTTATAGGTTCAAATAGACACAAAATCTCATTTTTATTAATTCCACTGGTAGTCTGTTTTGCTCAAATAGCAATAGAGGCCTGTCTCTAATACTGGCCTCTATCCAATAAAGGCCTGGACCGCGATGCACTTGAGTGAAATAAAGGCCCGGGCCTATATTAGAGAATTTACGGTACATTGCATGAATTCAACGTACTGTAGTAAACAGATATATGAGGCAAAAGATGTCTTTTGTCATCAATGCACACTTTCAGTGACACACAGGAGCTCTTTCAAGCTGGGTAGTGTTTCATTCACAACACCTGTCCCATCAACATGGAATCCAAAATACTATCATAATCCCAGGGCAAAATTATTTTCATTACATGACTCCATATGTAATAGCATGACTATAGGATCTGTTTGATGACACAATTTTATACACTTTATATAATTAGGGAGTCCCCGCTCCATTTCGCCATCAGTTTGGGGGTCCTTGCCCTGGAAAACATAGAAGACCCCTGCCCAAGAGCCAAATATTTATACTTAATATTAGTGAATGAATTTATTAGATATGTAGTACAATTGTAGAATACATACCTATCAACTTAGTTTATAGGTATTCTGGAATTCCCTTTATTCAGAAAAAGATTGCAAGGAAGAAATATAAATCCAAATCCCAAAGGGCAAAGGGATCACACAACTAAACCTCAAAGAGGAGCTTACTACTTGGGAGTCTGAAGTGCTCTTTATGCTTGATGCAAAGACATTCTGCGCAGAAAGTGAACCACCTGTCACATCGTGTGCAGCATTTATACTCTGTGCGGCTTTCCCCCTGATCTGGTCAGCTTTGGAGGGGTGTCTGCAAACTGACAACACCACTACACAAAGAAGTAGAAAACACAGCCATTTATAACTTTATCGAAGCCTCTTCATGTCGTTTGAGAGTGACAGTCATTTCATTCCTGGAGTGTTTGGTGATATTTATGGGCTAAATCAGGAAATGTCTCTAGATGCTCATATTTTCAAACTCGCCATTGTTTCCAAGCAGATCCGTCTGCGTAGCTACAAATTTTCCACGAACCTCGCAGATGCGTAAAGCATAAAACAAGCTTGAGGCAGATAAGATCAAAACCACACTTTATTTCAAGTTGGCAGCATATTAGTTTAAATGTCCAGCTTCTGTTTGAGCCACCATAGCCATGCTTCATTTCAACCCCAAAGTAAAGCCAACATTAAACTTGCTTACCTTCCTTTTAGCCTTGAGCTGTCCATGATAATTATCAGATGAATTTCCAGGAATCTCACCACCCCAGAGTGTCATCCCCACGATAGTGTAAGTGATTCCCATCACCACTAATGGCAGCACGTACACTAGAACTGTCACTATGATATGATACCTGAGGAGAAAGTAAGAAAATGGTACAAGGTGTAGTAGAGCATTACAAGATTTTTAGGTTTATACATTGTGTAGGTGCAGGTTATGACTTTAGGTTTAGAGCAATAACTGGCTGCACAAGGAAGGACCAAAAAGATCCTAGTTCACTACCTTCCGCTTTAAGAGTACAACAAAATGATAGGAGCTAAACGACAAAATATTTTGTCCCTAATCTGTCCTCTTCATGTTCCTCCCTACCTTCGGTTACAGGTTTAAGGCCTCCAAAACTGATTTTGGAAAACAAAACAAAAATTCCCATCATGATCACACAGAGTTAAGCCATCAGGAAGGTTTTGGCATAATTGTAGAGGAATTGCTCACCACTTTGTAGTTCAATTTAATTTTTTTCTTCAATTATAGCGCTGGAGAGTTCAGCATCCACGAAGCTTAAAGCTCTTGTGGAATGCTTTTCTGTCAAATGAAGACAGTGGAAGAAAAGCATATTGATATTGACAAATAGGCAGTATTTCACATTCCCTTGTGATTAAAGGCATAATGAAAAACACATGTGAAACAAGTGGGATATTATTTTGTTAGAAATTGACCATTCGAGGTTGACTGCAATTGATAAAAAGAGTACCTCCAGTATCTTTCATCGACATGAATTATAAACAGTCAAGGAAAACACCAGATTGCAGACAGGTATAGAGTTTAGCTGCACAACAACAGCATTCCTAGGGTAAAATGTTGCATAGCTGCTTGGATGCAGCAACAGTGAGAAATTTGACATCAGTTTGGACTACTTTTGGTGGGTGAAGAGAAAAAAGCGCTGCCTTGATTGGACTGAACTAAATAGATCTGAATTGGATCTGAATAGCACTGTACTGAAAAAGCACAGCCTGTTTCGCTTTGAGGATTTTTCAGCAAACTGTCTCAAAAAAGAAAGATCTTAATGGAGAAATTATGTCAGTGTAATCTTGCTTGCAAGCTGAATTCCCGTGGTAATTGTGTGTTCACAAACACGGGAATCCATCTTATACCATTTCCGCTTCAACCATTCCAGACTGTCCCAAAACGGCTCTGACAGTCATGTTGCAGTATTATAGTTTCAGGTGGGACACATAACTGTGACAAAAACGAAGACCTGCTGAGCCCACAGTGAAACCAAAACAAATATGGCAGCACAGGAGGATGTAGCTGCTGCTATCACATTTCACGTTTTGTGCGGCTCTATGATTTCATCCTGGGAAGAGGAAAAGCAATACAGCAACAATACAGCAAGCATTCACATCTGCTGCTATTTAATGTTTTCCCATTATTGGGTGTCACTTAGACTAATCAGCTTGGAAGGTTCAGCTGAATGTTCCTTCTTTTTCCAAACAGTTTTGAATAGAGCAGTCCAAGAGAGTGGTGGAAGCACATATTTTGAGTAAAACTAATCACTAGAACCAGTACATTAATATGATTTGTTGGAAAGATTCGTCCACCAAATCACTTAGCTCATGTAAGTACAATTTTGTTTTTTTTCAATAAAAGTAGTCTGCTTTGGTCACATAACATACCCATACTTGTAACAATAAGCTTAACTTTTGTGACATTAAATATGCTAATCATAAAACTTTAACAGCCTTTTATGTTCCATAAAAGCTAAAACAGGTAATGGATATCAAACTGACTTTTCAAGCTCTTGTCTTACCTTATTTAAAATATTTTGGCAATTGGAAGTCAATCAAAAGAAGTAATTTTTTGACTTTTAGATTTAAAAAATGTGTTACTTCATAGCTATATATACAAAAAATCATAGCTATATATGTGTACAGCTGAAACTGTGCCACTCTCAGTGTGATGTACATACTGCATGACTGAGGGCACGATTTGTTCAGGCCACAAGACAGTGACAGCATGTATAAATCATGTGAGGGATTCAGCGGTATTGACTCTCAATTGTAGGTCGGCTGACAGGAAATTTCAGCTCAGTCACAACATAAAAGAATCACAAACTGATTTGTAAAGTGATTGAGTGAACCATCTCTATCACACCCCAGTATGATTTACCGCTGATCTATACAGAACCATTTCTTGTAATACTACTTGGTGAATCATTTCTCTGCAGCATTTCTCTTTGTTAAGTAGGTTATTTTGGTGAGGCCAACTTCAGCTGTTAGATTTAGCCAGCTTCAGCCATTAGCTTCAAGGTATTCGCTTGACGTTAACTTGCAGTAACAGATACCATTGTGTGAGTTAGAGAACACAAAAATATCCTCCCGTTTGGTTTGTTTAATAGCTTCCAAAATCAGTTTAACTTTTAAAGCAATTTTATCTAAACACCATACCTTAGAAAAAAACAAAACACTGGTAAAATACAAATGACAAACCCATAATCCACCAATGCATAATTTATTAAAAGATGTTGGAACACAAATGTCACTGTCTATAGTGAAAAAACTGACATCAAAATAAGGGCTATAGCACCAATTCGCAACCCATGTCATCTCAAGGCACTTAACAGAAACAATTCAACTGGAACATACAGTCAGATTGGTTCAAAATTTTCTATCTACGGAAAACTAGCTGATTGCATAAATTGATTGACTGGAAAGCAGTCCTTCACACCAAGCATGCTTGAAGTGACAGTGGAGAGGAAAACCCCCTTTTCAATTAAAGAAAACTACAGCAGAACCAGGCTCAGTTTGAGTGGCCATCTGTCATGGCCGATTGGGGTTTAAGGAGACTGAGGCATTCGATTTGCATGTAAATGGTGCCCACACAATCTTTCACCATAGCTTAAGTTTACTTACCAATGTAAGGTATTCAGATTGAGCCACAAGAGCAATAGTACTTTTTCACTTAACAAAAATTTAGCTTTTTTGTCACAGAGAGATATCGTATGCTTGAAGAAGTCAAGAAGATGCTTTCAAATGTCTAAATTTAATTTCCAAAAAGCTGCCTGCAGGTTGCTGACTGTTTACACGTCTCTCTCACCTCTTCTTCATCAAATACATAGACCCAAAAATTATGCACATTTGAAAGGGCATCAAAGGCTACAAACATCAGAGATGCAAAATTCCTTACGGACCCAGCTTTGAGGATTACAACTCCCCCACCAGCACCAGACCAGCACCTCCTGGTCCGATACACTTCCATGTGACCGTGGTGGATGTGAGGCAGGCCGTCAAGGAATCAACCCCCATAAGGCTGCAGGCCCCAACAACATCCCGGCGCAGGTACTAAGGGGCAGAACACCAGCTACCTCAGGTGTTGACAAACATCTTTAACACTTCATTGTCACTAGAATATGTGCCAATCTGCTTCAAGTCCACCACTCCTGTCCTTAAGTGTTAAACAGTGACAAGCCTGAATGACTACCCACCAATAGCTTTACCATCGCTAATCATGAAATGCTTAAAGATGACGTCCCATATCGAGGACCTCTTTAAAGTCATTGTGGACCCACATCCACATGCATACACGAGGAAACTATCCCCTGCTGACGCTATGACATTGGTATTCTACACAGCCCTCATTCACCTGGAGAGCTGAAATTCTGTCTGGTCGTCCTTGATTTCACCTCAGCTCATAACATCATCATACCACAGACTTTAGTGTGCAAGCTCTCCTCTCTTGGGCTGAATTCCACACTGGGGAAATGGGTCCTGGACTTCCTCACCAACAGACCTCAGACTGTTGAAATCCACAACACCATCTCCTCTATCATCCTCAGCACTGGCTCACTCATTACTGTACAGTATGCTGAGCTACCTCCTGTTTACTTTGACGACATGTAACTGCTCAACAAGACACACCAGGTGGGGAGTGGTGGCCTTGTGGTTAGGCCATAGAGCTTGGAATCCTGAGGTTGTGAGTTCAAAATCCACTCCCCCAGACTCTGAGCAAGACCCTTAACACGCGATTGCTCCCCGGGTGCCCAATGGTGGCAGCTCACTGCTCCCCAGGGGGATGGGTTAAATGCAGAGGTAAATTTCTCCAATGTGAGATCAATAAAGTTCAATTATTGATTATTATATAGAGAACTTTGCAGATGTAAACAGGCAGTGGTGTTTTATAAAGGCTAAGAAAGCTACAATAAAAGCTTTCTAAGTCAAAAGCAACCAATTGTGACAGAACAACCGTATCATCCTTAAAACAAATAGTTGTTGCAGTGGGATGCAGGTTTTTGAGGACCCAAATGCAGAGACCACGAGGCAGAGGTGAATCTCCAAGGTTTAATGAAGAACAAATGCAGACAACCAAAAATCGAAAAGACTAGGAATCAAAAACCAAAAAGCATCAGGGAAAACTCATGAGGTAAGCCAGAGATGAGGGAACAACAAACAACAACAAGGAACTAGCACTGAGTGACTGCAGAGGGGGAGTATATAAGGGGAACAGAACAAAGGATGGGCTAATGAGCTGAATATGGAGCAAGTGTGAGTGGAACTAACTACAAGGAAGCCAAGGGGAAAGGAAACAAGCACAAGGGGGCAACAGATAAAGACTGCTTGAATATAATGCAACATAAACCAAAGATCAACAAAACAGAACAGCTGATAACTGAAAACTAAAAACTCAGTCCCAAATGGGGAGAACCATAACAGTATTCTTATAAAAACATCCTTATAACCAAAAACACTATGACGTTTGTTTTATTTGCTTTCACTTTTATATAAGTGATTTGTTTGGAACTTTTTTCCTTTTAACTGTGAGAAAGTGGTTTCAGTAGATGAACTTTTGTTTAAGTGAAAGTGTCAGAACCATGAACATTTACCTCGTATTAATTATTTTAATCTTATCATTAAACTTTTTGTAGAAACAAGAGGTTCAAACGTTTGCGATGACAATGAAAAGTCTTTAAAATCAAACTCTTGGTAATGAAAAAATAAAGGGTGTAAAGAAGTTTAGCTTCAGACTGGTCCAAGACAAGAGTTTTGATGGAAGGTATTTTCTTAAAAATGATCGCTTCAATGTATGCTTAGCTCTGTTCTGTTAAAACTTCCTTATATTAGATTGAATACAAAGGTATCGCTGTTTATAAAAATTAGAAATGAGTATAAGAAATACCAAGCCTGATAAAAAGCAGATTTGTCAAATGGAAAGGGACACGCAACTGAGCATAGTACCTCCTCTATTTACTATGAAATAAAAAAAAATCAGATAACACAAAAAAAAATTGCTAGTTTCATTATTGTGTTTCCAAGTCATATTGAATTTGTTGTGAATTTTTGTATGTCAATAGTGTTTGCACCCCTTGGCTGCTGCAGATGATCAAGCAGGATAACTATTTCAAAATTCTTTAACAACACCTAAATGATCATCTTGATGGTTGAATAGTGGACACAAATTACATTCCAACCAATAAAATCCTTTGCACAACAGATAGCTTACTGTTTTGAATAAAGATTAGTTATATCAATTTTTATTTATGATCTCAAGCCTTACTGAGATTTTTTTACCAATGCCAAAGAACATGTTGGTGAAAAATACCAACTCATTTACTTGAGCTATGTGTCAATGACACCAAGATTCTTCCAGAACACCTTATTGATTTTTATAGAAACTTTAATTGCTTGGTTTTGTTTTGGTTTTTTTTATTTTTTATTTTTTTGAAGAAAGTCTTAGTGTTGTTGGGTGTAAAGATCTATTATTTTAATCTTGGGTTGAAAAAAGAAAAATAACAGTATTAGATTTAGCAAATTTACTTAAGCTATACTTCCAGTAAAAACTAACAAGAAGAGGTTTATGTTGTTGTATTTCATCACAACATAATTAACTTTTCACTAGTTTGCATAAAAAGTTGCAAGAATAATTTAAACAAAACATATATGATAGATCAAGATAACATTTCTAAACCTCTGAAAGTTTGATAAAGAGAAGCAGCAATTAGTCAAGAAGCAATTCTTTTCTCACATGAAGAGGTCATCTTCTTTGCGAGGCCAGGCGACATAGCAGATGGTCCTGTGGGGTAGAGCTCGGGTGTCTGAGAAATAGCACGGAGGGAAAGCCAGAACCACTGCCAGGCTCCAGATACTGACGATGACTCCCGTAGTGACCTTTGCTGAGAGACGAGGCTTCAGAGGGTGGATTATGGCCATGTATCTGCAGGAAAGAGATAGAAAGTTAAAAGATCAGCTTTGCACATGAACACTGTGAAATATATAAAAAAAAAAAAAAGAAGTCTATTGTACACATTTTCATGCTGAACTTGATATCTTATAAGGCCACAAAAGGAAATTATATCGTAGTGGAAATAGAAAAAAGGATTTTAAGAAATGATATAATAATAAAAAAAAAAAAAACAGAATCTATAGGAGTAATCAATAAAGGAATAATTTTGATAGACTGTGACCTGGTGAGATGTACTATTGTTACAGTTGCACTTAAGCTTTTTTGAGGTTAAATAGAAAAAGTTGGTGGTAAAGATTCTCAGTCATCCAGGTCACAGTCATTCCAAAAAAAAAAAAAAAAAAAAAAATATATATATATATATATATATATATATATATATATATATATATATATATATATATATATATAAAACAATCCTCTGGACTTTGTTCCAAGTTTTAAGATACTTCCCATCCACTACAGTTTAAGGTTTTTTAGAGTGGACCAAAAGCACTTTGTTTTGGCTAAGAAAATATGCAAATTGAACTGCACGAGCGGGTCTCGGACCCAGTGGATTGTTTTTTAGTCCACTGGATTGTTTTTTAACTTTTTTTTTTTTTGGAATAAAGTGCTAATTCTTTATTTTGTGTACTAATATCACATAGTGTTTTTATAATGAAAATTTTTATTCAAGGGATCTTATGGTTATTTCATGAAATTCCATAAATAAGTAAGTTTAGTTCCAGCAATACATCTAGACCAATTAAATATTAGGGCTGCAGTTTAAGATTAGTGTACTCTAATCAACATTCTTATGATTAATCAAAAAGTGAATTAAACAAAAAAAGATCCAACCACTGACATGTAGTCAAATGAGGCTTGGCAGTCAATGACTGCAAGCAGAGAGTAACATCTCTTACTCATGCAAAATTAAGCTTCCATTTACCCCACTTAAATTAAGAATAAAGATGTACGGTAAATATATCTTTTCTTTATTTGAAACTTTTGTATTAAACAGAGAAGAAGAAAAAAATCAATTTAGACTAACAAAAACAATTAGGAGTAAATTAAATTCCGATATAAGCTCTTTTTCTTATGTATCAGACACTCCTCTTTTTCTTAGCACATAACATGTTTATTCTCCAGATAGTGTTGTGTTGTAAAACGATGTACAGTACAATACTCTATTTGTTTTATTTTCCTATCATTTATTTTTATATGATTTTCTAAGGTGCACATTGTGTGACCACTTCTACTACAACCTTCGCTGCTATAAACACAACAATCTCCCCATTGTGGGACAAAAAAGGGGTTTTCTTTTCTATTCTATTCAATTCTATTCTATTCTATTTGTCTTGTTCCACAGACTAAGTGATTTAGATGTGAACAGAATCACAGGGGGATGCGGTAAGCGGATATAATGTCCCATGATGGTGAGGGGATCCACTATAACAGATGTTGCAATTTTGCAGTACACAGGGCACAAAAGTGATTCCACATTTTTGTTATGCTCTGTTGTTTCTGCTCTTCCTTTTGTCCCCCAGTGTCTCCCTCCATTGCTGTGAACATCAACTCAGTGTACTGAATAGTAAAACTGAAGTTAAGAAGCTTTAAGGCAGATATCTGTAATTTGCCTTAAATAATTTTAGGATTTGAGTTAGTTAAAATGTTTGTCGAATCATTCCAGCTCTATTTAAAACAATGTTTAATTTTCCTGCAACACACCTTCTCCAAAGCCAATAATCTTTCAAGATCCCCTTTATTTAGCTCCTGGCCTAGCTTCTCTATCCCGCACGCAAACAAAAATGTACCCCGCTTCCAGCCCATCTCCTCCCTCATTCTCAGATTATTCTGTCCCACTCACCCTCTGGCTTATCCCATCACCAGTGTCCGGGCCCTGGGGAAAGACTAACCCTTTTCTAGGTTACTCATGAGAGCGAATGCCGATTCAAAGCATCGAAATCTTCTGCCGGGTCCCGAGCAGAAGACTTCTTTATCTGCTTCTTTCCCCTCAAACCCCAGTCGGCCTCAGCAGATGGCCTCTCACACTGAGCTTGGTTCAGAACCAGGCAGATCTGCCTGGTTTTAATCTCAACCAGGCAGATCTGCCTGCTCAGTGCGAGGGATTGCAGAGAGTCAATGAGTCCTCACAATCAGCTGGTTTACCTTAGATAGAAATTGTGGAAGAATACAATTGTGTTACGTGTATAAATAAATCATTTTGGAAAAATGTTAGCCCCCCTCTAAAGTTTTTCAAAACAGCTACTTCCCCACAGCCATCAGAAAGCTGAACATTGTAAAAAACTGAAAAACTGGGAAAAAAATGCTAAATGTTCCAAATTCCAAATCAAACAGTCTTTGCATCAAACTGACCATATCATTGCGTTTTTTCTGTTTTTTTTTACACCATGTGTTTTTCTTCCAATGTTTACATTTAATCACTGCTGCACTTTAAGAAATGGAAATTTCATGAGAGCGGTACAAAATGAAATTTCGTTTTGTTAAATTTCTGTATACAATAAAGTTTGTCTTAGTCTAAAGTCTAAGTCTAAGTGTAGGTCTGAGTCTAGATTTTATTTTTTTGTAATTGCAGCTTTTCTCTGTGTCTTCCCAGGATGAATTAAGGAAGATTAATAGAGGATTCCACTGAAAGCACTTCTGAGACTCTGAAATGAGCAGTTACAAAAAACCCATTCTGGACTCTTCATTATTTTCAAACTGCTGATTGAAATGCTTCAGAGTAGCAGGGACCACAACTAAAATGCTTCATCACATAACACGTAACAGTGTAAAAGTTGTTGCATTACACTGGATCCATGCTGCACACCAGATCAGGTACTGATGAGCAGTGAAGGAGCAATTTGAATAAACAGCTGTCTATTTTTTTGGCTGTTCCAACGCTGTCCCAGTCAATTAGCTAAAATGCTTTTAGTCATGTTTTGCCTCAGTCCTGAAATGATGCTCTGCTTAGAATGCAGCCACTTCACCACCAAAGTAGGACTGTAGCTCCATAGTTTCCACCATGCGGAGTCTCTCCTATCCAAGGCTCTCAAACTTGGATAGGAAAGACCAACAGCTAAGCTGGCCTTACACGCTCAATGTGGCTGTGAGTAATAACAAATTAAGATTCTACAAAGTCCCTGTGTTGCTGTCTGTGAAGCCAGACCCGCTGACAGAGTGAGACCTTTGCTGCTTCCATTCCCTGAAATGCAAACCCATACCTCAACTTGTCTTCACAACTGTGGCAAATGAAGTAGTAAAGACTAGTTTCAATTTATTCAACAGGTATTTTTCCCTAGGCGAGAATACTAGTTTAAATGCTGAATTGTTTATTCAAACGTTGCTCCTGGATACGATCTTGCTGATGTGTTTTGTTGTGTGATTGACAAATGCAATAAATATTCAGTGTCTGTTTTAGCTGGATTATAATTTCAAACTGTGATTGAAATTATAATCTAAGTTTTTGATATTTTTTAGTGGTTGAGACAAACTGGGTTTTAACAGCCAATCCAGATGTCCAGTCTCACAGATAAGCAAATAAATAACACCTAATAAATAAGCAAATCATCAGCATGAATCATTTGACCAGCATTCAAATGAATTGGCTATTTTTGATTGTAGTAGTATATTAATTTATAACATACTTTTATAATAACTGATACATTCATAATCAAACTGAAAAATCTTTATTCTGGAAAGTCCATCAGAAACAAGTTGTGCTTTTAGTCTGTATATTCAGATGCTATCAATTGTTTCAGCAATTATATGGTATGAACATAGTATATACATTAAGGATTAAAATGTTTTTTTTTAAAGATAAGATTGTACTTTTAAAACACTTCAATGGTTTCCTTGAATTGTCCTACTTTGTGTGTTTTAGTATTGATTTAAATTTGAAAAAAGACATTATAAGTAGTGTTGCGCCGATGCCATTTTTTGGCTCTGATACCAATACCTAGTTGTGCAGTATTGGCCAATACCGATACCATCTGTTTGAAATTGATGTGTGTGTATATATATGAAGAACTGCATACTACTTGGATGTAAAATAATTGCCATCATGGCTTTGTCAAGCTGCTGCCTACCTTTGTGAAGCAGGAAAAAGACAAATACAAAGTGAATCCAGTAGAACTTTTTATTGCCTACCTGGAATGGGTGACAATAGTTGAATAAACTTTTGGCTCTCAAAATGGTATCGGTGCCCTATTTGTCAGTATTCGCTGATACTGATACCACCATTTTAGTCCTGAATCGCAGGCCCCACCGGATACTGGTATCGGCGCAATACTAATTATAAGTCTAAAATACAAGTCTAAAAATACATCATAAGTCTAAAACATAAATGTGTATGGCATATTCAAATGAGTATGTCATAGATTCTAAGGTTGAACAACATTGTTGTGTTTTTAAGTCCTAAAATCCATTGGGTCCGCTGATACTCCTCCATGCTGCTCTGCTTCAACTATGTGTATTTTTCTTAGTGCTGTCGGCTCTTCTAGCGGCTCTACTAACGGCTCCATCACATACAGGGCAACACCATAAACTTGCACCCTGCTATATGATGACAGCTCACCTACTTCTGACTATGTGTCATCTCTCTTTGATTTTAAAATTGAAGAATAATGGCATTATACCAGCTCATTTCATTGCTGGCACATTTATTTCAACAGTATTTTATCAATGTAATTTTGTCATATATATGCATTTTGTAATAGGAAAAATATGTCACATGCAATTTAAAGCTTATAGAGATTCCCAAGTATCACCTAAGGAGCACTAAATTCCTTTCTTTCATAAAGCCATACTAATGTCTATAGAGTATATGAGTTCACTATCAAGACCAAACAGTTAAATAGCAACAACATTATAAACATAAAATACATCAAAAGCTATTACTAAAACTGTTTGCTAGTCGTATCAGAAAAAAGTAAGGAGTTGTATTTAATGTTGTCAGACTAGGCCAACTTACTAAAATTTGCAAAATAGGTTTTGTTAAAAGGTAGTATCATTGTTTATTAAAATAATGTTTGGTTTTGCCAAAGACAGTTTTCTATTATTGTTAAAACTATACTTCCTAAAGGATATCAGTTGCTTAAAAAATATAATAACTCAATACCAGGAATGAAATTCATAATATTAATATCATGGTTTGGGATTATGGTTAATATATAGAATAATTCAAAATTTGTGAAAGAAATCTCAACAAAAAGTGGGTCATGTAAAAGACACAGAAAACTTAACACAAAAGTGGTTCTACATTGGAATAGATAAAGAGAAATTAAGTTAATGTTTTGGAATGGCCAAGTCAAATTCCTGACCTAAATCCAAAAGAAAGGATGTGGAGGGAACTGAAGCACACAGTGCATATGAGCTGAAACTGTTCTGCACGGCTGAATATGGATCTGCATGACTGATCAGGTTTCACCAGAGGCTTTAAGATTTAGGAGAGCTTTTTACATGATCATAAACTATATCTAAGAAAAAAAAGCAGCATCTAAACAGTTTAAGCTTTTATCTATTCTGAAAATAAAGCCAGGTTTTTGGCACATTTTAATCATCATATTTTCTTTAAAGAGGAATTTTGCACTTAAAAGAAGTCAGGTTAATAATAAACTGTATTAGATAGTTTATTATTTGTAATAGATACAGTTATATACATTTATTGTCTTCTAAATTTAAATGAGCTGTACATATGTTCATTCCTGATTAACAGTTGGATCACCTGCTGTGATTTCACCTTTTACACAGAAAACTCTTTCTTTTGCAGAAGTCCCCATTAAAACATGCATGCCTGCAGACAGTTAGCAGGAAGGACAGATTCACAGATGATCACGAACTGTGGCTTCTGCCATTTCAAGACATCAGAGCGGAAACGGCACCATACCAGGGTTAAGGAAACTGTGACTCAAGGTTACATCTGCATCATGTAGGCTAGGTCATGGCAATGTTCTCTTTCTAAGTAAACAGTTTGTGCAATTCAAGGGACACTGCAGGCCAAAAATACCAATTTATAGTAGATGCTGTTGCGCGACAGTTAGCTCTTCCCAAAGAAAAACATTGTTTTCTCTGTACGTTAATGGGAAGCACTGTATGGAAAATACACCTAGAATAATATCACTGCACACCCAGCAAATGTAAGCACACTGCCCCTCTGCTATGGCTCTTTTTTTTTTCTTCATATTTAGCCAGTGGCTGCATCCTTCCTAAATTTAATCCCTAATGCACGTTATGGTATATGATGGTTCAATGATCAAAGCCTAGCCAAAACAAAATTGTATTTCCAAATAACTGGAAGCCACAGACAAGAAGTAAACAGTATAAAAAAAGAGAGACAGGAAAAGGAATGTGTGAAATGGAAAAAAAAAAAAGATGACTGCATGTGACAGAAAACAAGAGGCTTAGAGCAGGAAAAAAACACAACGTGGGGGGATTCTTTCTAACACGCTGGCTCTGCTCCCATTCACAAGCTGCTGATCCAATCTAATTGCATTACATTATTAAAAACTAATATGTGGAAGATACCTAGATACAATTTCACTTTCTAAGTTACAGTGCCTTTAAAAATACACATTTTATCACTAAAATCCAAATGCCAATATATTTTCCTGGGTTTTTATGGGCTAGATCAACAAAAAGAAGGGTTAGATAGTTGCTCTTAATTGTATTCGCAAATAAAAATGTGACAGAAATAGCACCATATGCACTCAGCCCACCTGACTTAAAGGTCCTATGTCATGCAATAATTATTTATGCATGTTAAATCAATATTTGGCATTTAAATAATGAAATTTTGCCTTTTGCACAAAATATTTATTAACCATTAAATACTGCTTATTTATGGTGCCGGAAGAGAGATATTTGGTGTTATTGTGGTGATGCTGCCTCTGCCCCACGAGCCACTAAAATCTAATCTACATGCAGTTGCTTACACACCACTGATAACAAACATTTTTGTGAGAATCAACAAGTGCATTTAAGCAAATCAACATTCATATTTACTGGATAAAAAAAAAACGAAATGGGACAATGAGTATTTTTGTGTTAGAAGCATAGCTTAGCAACACTTTAGTATTGAGGTGAAGCAATTCAAAGTCTGATTAGTTAACCTGCACTGCTTTCTCATCAGCTACTGTAACAGATGAAATTGAGTCATATTTAAGGACTAAGCACTGTTGTTCATTTGGGTTATGGAGCTCCTATATACTAGGGGTGTGGGAAATAATCGTTTTGGCGATATATCGTGATATTCGGCTGCCCAATATAATATCGATCTTTCACTTCTTAGTATCGATTTAAAAAAAAAATGGTTACATAAAACATTGATGGGAAAAAGGGCTACCTCTGCACCACCACTCTGGCAGAAAGCGCAGTGGAGCCCTTTAACTGTGCGTGCAGCACCAAATCTGTACTTGAGGCAGTCACAGTGGAAGAAAACCCCAAACAACATGGATAATAATACCTAATCAATATTTTCTGATAAAAATATACAGCACTTGCTGTTTTATCTCATCATTTGATTTTGATAGCTGGGGAAAATATGGCAATATATAGTGATACTGCAATATCGTGATAATATCGTATCTTGACCCAAGTATCGCAACAAGTATTGAATTGCAACACTCATGCCAATACTCACCTCTACTATATACCGAGTGCAACCATTTGTCTCCATGTGTAGTTTGCAAGTTATTTTTTGAAGAACACGTCTGTGGCTGCTTCCTGATTTACTAAGTCTTTGATGATTGGTTTAACATAGAGGGGGTAAAAAAGACAGATTATTTGAAATATAGGTGGAGGTGCCAAAAAGAACAAGCGCTTTTGGAGGATTGCTGAAATAGAGCTGAATTACCAATAGTAAGTAAGTTTATATGAGGTTTTTTATGCAACGATAACAGTCTAAAAAGGTTCAAAGCCTAACAAAAGATCATTTCGATCCTTTAATATTTTATCTTTTGCTGCAATAATAAGACTTCTGGGTATGTCTCTACAAGCTTTACAAAAAAAAACAAAAATAAATGTTGTCCATTGTAGATTGCTAAATAATTTTAGCCCAATAAATTATAAATACATTTTATTTATCTATTTATTTAGCTCCAGCCATCTGCTAATTAGCTCTGATCTACCAATCTGTTTAAGCTGAATAAAAGCATGCCCCCAGTCTGATGCTGTCACCACCTTGCATTACAGTTGGGATTGTGTATGTAGGTCAGGACACAAAATTCCAGTGTTATCTGACCAAAGTATGGTCTTTCATGAGCCTGCTGTGTCACTAATGGCAAACTTAAAACATGAATCCCACTGGCTTTCTTTAAGCAACAGCTTAACAGCTTATTTCTACTCTTCTATAAAGGTGATTTTCCTATCAACAGATTCTTCCACCTAGGCTGGTGGATGTCTGAACATCATTCAAGGTGACATCTTGTCTATCTTGTTTATCCATTTTGTCCTTAAATAGCCTGTTAATTTAGAGAACACCCATAAACTGGTAGAATCCCCTTTATAGCATACTGCTTTCATTTCCAGATGGCAAATAAGTTCTCTATGACTTCTTCAAATCTTGTGATATTGTTTCATGAGTTAACCTTCCCAGCAGCTTTATTTCTGACCTGTCTGGTGTGTCAGGTCAGAAATAAAGCCTTGTTCTTTATGACGTTGTTTGTTCATATATGTTCTCTAAACTCCTCTGAGCCCTCTTTGTGTTTGTAGGTATTTTAACCAGAAGGAATCATTTACTAACTATGTGATTTCTGAAGGCAACTGGATCAGATTCAGGGGTATCAGTCCAAGATGTTAAATTATTAGAATGCTTTACTTTAGTTTCTTATAAATTAAAACGTCAGCCATTTGCCATTTCCATAGATTTCAAACAAAATTGTGCACCATTTTTAATGTTTAAACAATTTTACACTGCCAAACAAAAATAACAAATATTGTATTGTTGTATTATAACTAAATGTGGAAAAGTATGATAAGATGACATCTGTTGGAAATTTAACAAAAGAGAGAGAAAAAAAGAAAATTAAGAAAGAAAAAAAAAAAGGAAATGCATTTTAATTAAAAATGAGGTCTAACAGTAAGATTAATTAATGTTAGTCCAAAATGAAAGCCAAACAAAGTACCATTTGTCTTTAGGCACTAGAGAGAAATTAGCTTTGCTTTAAATGCTTTTTCCCCCAGTAGACCTACTGATGGAGCCCAGCATAATACAGTTTAACATGGGATCAGACTGCCCATGTAATGTATAGTAAGTATAGATTATAATAATTTTATTAAAATAGAAGTACACCCGCATTTACAAATTTGCGTGTGGATAATCAAACTCATAGACTCACCTGTCCACAGCTATTGCAGTCATGGAATAGATGCTTGCGAATACAGATGTGACTGGGAAGAAGTTCTGGAATTTACAATATGCTTTACCGAAGTACCAATCTCCGTGGGCAGCGTAGATAAAGTTTATCAAAGTGTTGAAAGCGGCCATCGACGCGTCCGAAAAGGCCAAATTAAGCAGAAAGTAGTTTGTTACCGTCCGCATGCGCTTATGGGCAAGAATGATCCATATGACGATGACATTTCCAAACACGGCCACAGCAATCACTGAGCTGTAAGCAACCGACCAGAGGGCGATGCGCCACGGCGGCTGGACAAACTGGTTAGTGTAATTCGATGTTACGTTGGATCCGTTGTGTGGGGTCTCCATCCTCTTCTGCTTTGTCCAAATGCAATGAAAAGATATTATTTATAAGTTTTTTTTCTGTCTATATATTTTTTTTGTTCTTGAATCTACTTGTTGAAGCGCAAGTCTGAATTGGCAGGGGGAGTTTTGCGCTCCTGCGCCATTGCGCGCAAATTAAAGAGTCCGCATATCCGATGTCTGTCTGCAGCCTGAACCGCTCTCCAATCTGTGCCTTACCCAGAGGATCATCAGCCTGTTGAATATGGGTGTGAGCGCACAGCTCCCCCCGTCAGTCCGCGGCAACAGGCGGGGTGAGGCGCAAGTGCACTGAGCAATCAAACAGATTGATCGATAGGTGTTGCTGCTGTTTCAAACTTCATGAATAAAAAGCAGTATGAGCTCTCTCTTTCCAAAGTGTATCATCTGTCGCAGCACACCGAGGTTGCTTTATCTCCCTCAACTTTCATAATGATGTTATGGCAGCAGCTTTTGCACATACAGGATATTGAGCTGTTTGCAGGCTGACATTTTCTTTTCTACAACAGTTTATGAACAGTTTGTTCTCAGAGACATATTCCATTTTATTGTACTAAAAAATTTCTTTAAAATGTTCTATTGCACTGACCCACTTTAGATTTTTGGATATCACAGGGAGATAATTCAATATGTCTAGAAAAAAAAGGAGTTTTTCAGAAGTCTTACATTTAAGTTTAATATATATTATTGTATTATTACACATTTCCAAAACACCGATTAGATGTTTATTATGTGTAAAACACACTGTTCGATTGATGTGTAGCGTTTAATGATAACATATGAGTTTTGCTTTTTAAATTAGTGACACAATGTTTTTAATTATTATCAATATTCTTGTTTTAGCTGCAGTTATATAACAGCTCAGTTCAAATAATCTAACCTTGCTTGGAGTTGTATTAAAAGGTAAATATCTTGAAGAAGGTACTTTGATTGGACGTGCACATTAGCCTGAACATACCCTGTTAATTGTAAAACATAATGGTATGAGCATCATGCTGTAATTATTGTATGTTTTTATTTATAGTGAACTTCAAACCAGTTAACAGTCTGGATTTACTACAACTGAAAAAGCATAAAAACAAAGTAAGGTTGGATAGATTCATAGAAAAAAATGATGGAGCAAAATGCAGAGTCACACTGAAGGAAATCTTTCAATAACTGCTGAAAATCTGATATTTTGGCCAAGTTTTACCCTCTTCCAGAACTACATTCCTAAACATACTATAAGAGCTTTAAGCAATCAGTCTTTAAATCTCTTAGTCAGTCAGTCAGTCTGGTTTAACACTAAAAAACATTGTAGCATGAACCATTACTTTTACAAAAATTTTTATAAATATATCATATTATGAATTCAGGCCAAGCAAAACAAATAGTTACATTGACAATATAGTAAAAAAAATAAATAAATAAATAAATTGAAAGGGAATTGTGTAACACCTTCCAATGGTCAAGTCTAAGTTGAGACCTAAATCGCATTGAGATTCTGTGACAAGAAAATCAATTTCCCAAAATGCTTTATGATTGATCTGACTTAATTTGGGTAAAGATTTGCCTCTAAATTAAAAAAGCTGGTAGAGACATACTCAAAACGATGTAGAGTTTGCAGATTTCTACAAAGTACTGACACAATGATGTTCAATAAATGCATGTAAAAACCCTCAGATGTGTCTCTTTTTCTTCCTCTGCATAGTAATGCACCGCCATGCATTGGAGTATGTAAATAAATTTCACTGAAATACATCGATGTTAGTGGTAACAACACTATAGAATGGGATATTAAGACTTTACACAGGAAATAGTTTGAGACTTCTTATTTTAGGAATGGATCTAAAATAGTTTTAAGGCCACTTTAAAGTGTGTTAGATCTGCACCACCCTGAGGATGGAATAAACATAACAAATAGGCTGAAGTCCCCTCCAGACATCCAACTGTTCACATTAGATAAAGCTCCTTTATCTGTAGACATAGCGGCTGGAATAAATTGTGGAGGTTAAGAGTATTTCTTTCCAGGCTAAACAAATCAGATCACACCCTTAAAGGATTTGAAATCTTTTCATGATAGTGACTGCAGCTTACGTTTTGTTTTTTTTTTCTCTCCTTACAACACATTGAATATACAAATCTGCGTTATTTTATGCAAATAAAATAAACAAATTACTAAAGACAGATCAGATTTTCTTGCATTCTTTAATAATAAAACTATTCAGATGTATACATCCATGTAATCTAAATTAAATAATATAGCGTTCTGCATAATATACACATTAAATTGGTTAAGCAGTTATTTTTCTTTAAATACACAGACTACTCCTATATTACTTGAAGAGACACACCACTTTTTTTCTCCATAATAGAGATAAACTAGTTCTGAATTGTTTATTAATTCTGTGCTTGTCATCTTTAGTGTTAGTATATCCATCCATCCATCCATCCATCCATCCATCCATCCATCCATCCATCCATCCATCCATCCATCCATCTTAGTCCTTGTCAGAGTCGCAATAGGGCCGGCGCCTATCTCCAGCAGTCCACAGGGGAGGGGCAGGGTACACCCTGGACAGGCCGCCAGTCTGTGGCAGGGTAACACAGAGATACACAAAGACACACAACCATGCACACACACACACAGACACCTAAGGACAATTTAGAGAAGCCAGTTAACCTACCGGACATGTTTTTGGACTGTGGGAGGAAGCCGGAGTACCAGTAAGAACCCATGCATACACAGGAAGAACATGCAAGCTCCTTGCAGAAAGACCCTAAGCCAGGAATCAAACCTCCACTGCTCAACCATGCAGCACAGTGTTAGCATATTGCTGTGAATAATTCCTGTTACAATATTGCAACTATGAGTATCACTACTTCCACCCACTTTTTTAGAGGAGAAATCCCTTTTCTGGAAATTGGGAATTACTTCCACATGGGAGCAAGAAATCACCAGTAAGGAGTGGCCACAGCTCTACCTAGCTCTGTCCCAGGACTCTAAATTCCCCTTTATTTGGGTTTAAGTAGTGATAATTAAGGAATAAAAAATAGAAAAAAACATTAATTAATTCAAAAATGTATCTTTGTTTAAGAAATATATAATATCTCTAATTTAAAAAATATGAAATTATGTCAGGATGTCAGATTGGGTGAAACTGAGATAATTAAAAGGAGTATGTATGATATATATGTCATATATATCAACTGTGTGAGTCATTATTAGTTTGTTTGGATACCTATTAAAAATCTGATAAGACGATTACAGCTTTGAAGTTTCATTTTTGGAAGATTGTAGCAAAGATCACTGCCAATGATCAGCCTTTCCGCGCAGAATAGATGAGTGCAATTAGTTATAGATTCAGCTGAAATGAAGTCACCAACAATTATATGAAATCTAGGATGTGTGCTTTGGTGTTTTTGACAGGCTGGTTATTTTGTTGAAGTGTGAAAGATGAATATATAATGAAAAAGCCTCCATTAGGAACCTTGAGTCTATATTTTAACTTGACAGACTCTTTAATAAAAATGCACCAACAGTTCCTCTTTAGGTCTGGTTTGCAGAAATATATGCCTATTTTCTAAGGCCTTTATATTTAATCATGCTTTGGCCTTTTGCATATTTTTCATCTTAAAACCACAAACTATGACCCCCATGTATGGAGGCAACAGTCCTCGGTAAGGTTATTGTGAATTTTAGTCTGGACCTGTTGACTTTTTAAGCATGCATTCCTCATGCATACCAGTTAATCTCATTAAAAACACAGTCAATATGCAATCTAAGAGGTTTCTTACTTTGGAGTCTCTGTTGAGGGCAGTGAGGCTTGAATAAATACTCATCACAGCTGAACACAGGCATTTACAACCAGTTTGCATTTTGTGTTAAGCACTTTTTCTTTCTTCTCTCTGCTCTTATCTTCTTTCTTTCTTCTTATCTTTCTGAAGTTGTGACTTAATGACAGGGATGAATGTCACATATCAAGTCAGAATTCAGCTCTTGATGATAAGATCCACAAGTGGAGAGAGTATTGAACAACTGTAACTCACCAAGACCTGGCTACCAATATAAACTGATAGCTAGGCATGGAAACCATAAATCAGTATAGCTGCCTTTTGTTGAAAAAAAAAAAAAAAGATGTAATTTGGTAGAATCAATGCAGCTGATTTTTTTTAACACAATTATGCATCACCTTCTGTTTGCTTATTTAAGACGATATCCTCTGTATGGTACAGTTAGTTTAAGCTTAAAAACAGAAAGCCTGTAACAGTTCGGTTAAATTGATCAATGGCAGAGAATATTTTTTTCCTACAATTTTGTGCCCTGCCAAGAGAAAACATTTAAAGTAGGACAACATTGTTGTTAAGGTTTGGAGGTTTTAATATTTTCTGATAAAATGTTTGGCTAGTATTGCAATAAGAGAAACTGTGTAGTGTGTGGAGACGAATATCAGCGATAGATCAAACAAGAGATGGAGGACAATTATGGGCAAAAAGCAATAAAAATAGAGCAAGAGAGAGAGAGTCAGAAACAGATAGTGAAATAGTGAGCACTAATCCACAGGTTATTAAAAAAAAGACATAGTAATAAGTAATGAGTTGCTCACAGAATGGCTTGTTTTAATTCAACAGTTTAGCGTTTTAATTATATCCACAGATTAGCTAAACAACTTTCTACTTTTCAAAGTATCCCTCAGGCTTTGTAGACACTGTAAACATTTACAAACATAAAGTTTGTTTTATGTTGACAAACAACTAAATATGTTTGCTTATTTTTATCATAGATAGTGTTATGACCCCTTGTGGTTGGGTTAGGCACTTACCTTTATTGCAACACAGACACCTGAGTAGCAGGTAAGGTGCTCAGCTTTTTTAAATGCTGTGAGCCAAGGATCTGTCTCTGCTCTTAGGCTCAGGCAAGCTGATGCTTCATGGTTGTAGGCACATTGCAACTCTTCCACATACTCTACATCCACCTAAGGTCACCATACACCAATGATTTCACTGACCTCCTCACTTCATATTGACAGTTTTGGTTTTATCCTTAGTATGAATTCAGTTAATTTATATTTGAAACTTCTTACATGCGTTGTGTCTCCCTTTTAATTATGGCTTTTGAGCAGAGTTGTGAAAATATGGAAACAAGATGGTGACAGCATAATGCTATAGTAATGTTCTTTCTCAGCATAGTCAGCAAATTTATTACAGTTGATGATGAGACGGATGGATTTAGGATAAATGTCAATAAAGAAAACTTGTTAGAG